AAAATTATCGAGTACCCTGCATTTGGGCTTTATTCATCTTACAATTGGCGTATAAGATCTGAAAAGAGATAAAGAATGGTCAGAATCATATACGCAATTAGTGAACGTTTGTTAGGGAGCAGGGGTGAACGTTCATCAACGAGGGTGAGAAAGAAAGGGTGAACGTTCGTCAACGAGGGTCAGAGTAGTATTAGCATGACAAATAGGCAGTCGAGGAAGTCAAAAACAGCATGTTCACAACGAGTGTAATTCAGAGTCATAGTAGGTAAGTCAAGTGGCACAATGTTCGAATACACGCGCCAATATAACATGCAATTACCTCCCCAATTATTGCCTAATTTTCATTTGCAAAGAACGTATAAGAGTTCACATACATTGCTGTCTGATATATCCTCCTTTGTCCGCGTGCGTGTCCTGAATGCCCTTTGTGAGTTCCGAATGTTTTCAGCCTTATTCGCTCCCCATTCTACTCTAATTACTCAACTTTATCCAAGATGAAATACGTTGAGGTAGTTGCTAATCCAACCTGTATCACTCCAAACTGTTTGGTAGCGGTGAGACGTAAAGACAGCAACAGTAAAATAACTTGCACAGGCATCACATAAAAGTAATTATGGACCGTTTGCTGCGATGTGTATATGTGTTGTCCACGCGGTCCTCTTTGACTCAGTATCTCACCTCGGAAGACATTTTATTTTCGGTCTTTTTTGAGCTTGCTTATTTAATTACATTGGTCGTTAGATATCATGACAAAATGGGCAGTTTCTCATCTAACTTTAAGATGCAAAAGACCATATGATCCTTCTATTGACCCACATATTGGACTACAATGTAGGTAAACCTCATCTGTAAGTAACCGCGTTGCTCTCCCAAGCCATCTGCGGCCACAACTCTTGTACCTGCCATTCAGTTATAGGCTGTTCCCCTAGTAGCGTCCTACCTGTGAATCACCTTTTTAAAAATCAACCCTTGACTGCTTGTAGGGGGATGACGGTCACCAGCGGTTCCGTCACCCTGCAGAAGGGTCCCCAAAACCTTGTGGGCATCAGTATCGGTGGCGGGGCTCCCTACTGTCCCTGCCTCTACGTTGTTCAGGTCTTCGATGCAACTCCCGCGGCCCGAGATGGCACCATCCAGGCTGGCGACGAAATCACCGGTGTTGGCGGCATCAGTGTCAAGGGCAAGGGCAAGGTTGAGGTCGCTCGTCTGATTCAGAGTTTCAAGGCAAGTTTCCCAGTAATTTTGCTTATCCTCCTCCGCCTTTAGGACAGCGTTACAATCTTCTTCAACAAACTGCACGCAGACCCGAAACAGGGGAAAACGTTGGATATAGGTAAGGGAGCCTGGTTTGACATTTCCTTCTTTGCTCAATAGGCTCAATGTACTTTGTTGTCGTAATACTAGCTAGGAACACTTACACAGTTTTGGTTAATAGAGGTAGAAGGGTAAAAACCAGAGCAAGCATTGATGTGCTCCGAGCCTCAAACATATACTTAACTCGGAATATCATAAATCCAGGTCCCAACTCCTAGCTGAGATCGGAGGAACACGAGCCCAGCGTTGACTCTAATCAGCGTCATTTCTGACCGATTACTAGCGTCCGTAATAGTGCCAGCACTAAAATCATTCAGCTACACTACTAGTAAGCAGCAGCATAAATAGTAGTATCAGAAACTGCCCCGTCTTTCTCTTCCGGGGATGATGAAAGCAATATTATAACTGGACCTCGAATATTTTCG